TCGTTATTAGCTGCCCTAACCCCGTACCCCTCCTCCATCTCCTGCACCTCCTCCTCTGCTGTCCCTCCACCTCCTCCTCCTCTCCCCTCCTGCCCTCAGCCCCATGGAGACACAAAGTATTCATTCACATTTAGATCCCGAGGTCACAGCAGGGCCAGCAGGGAGAGGCCAGCGCTCCCCCCCAACCCGTAGACAGGTCAGGAATCTAACATGTAACTCCGACCAGCAGCGCTGAGGTAGCTCACTCTTCTTTTCCTTACCAAAAAAAAAATTGTGAAAGCGTGTGGGAGAGAGGGAGTGAGGGGGTGAGTGAGAAAAAGAAAAGAAGACACTTTCATTTTGTGTGCATGTGGCAGAAGAGAGTAGAGATTTTTACATTTTACCACATTGACTATATAGTTTTATGTGTGTTTTACTTTCAATTAATTTTAAATATTGCAGCCCACATTTTTGAACGGATCTCTGTCAATTTTTACATATTATGTATGAAGGAGCACTTTTTTAACGTGTCCACATTTTAACTCAGCTTTGTGCTTCACACTGCATTGATTATTATGACTGCTGATAATATTGTGTTGTGGTTTATTGGTTGTTCATGAGCAAAAGCCCTTTCGTGTCTATGGCCAGGTTGCGGTCATGTTTTTCTCTGTTGTGGTTTTACGAGAGGTAGCGTGTGAGGACGCAAGATGGGAGTTTCTCTGTGCGTGTGTGTGTACAGAGAGGGGGGGTTATGATGGGTGGGGGTATTTTCCTGTGCGTTGTGCTCTTAAAAAGAGGGGGGGGGGGTCTTGCATATGGGGCACAGAGGTGCTGATATGAGGAGCGGACAATGCATGAAAGCCCTCAGCATGGGTCCTGTGTCTCATTGTCCCATGGTACCCTCCTGTCACTTTCATTTTGCACCCTCTAGTCTAGAGTCAGGCCAACTTTGATATCAGGAAAGGGGTGCAAGGGATGATGGGGGGAGCAAGAGGAGGGTTTTTAAAAGAAGAAGTAGGGGAGAAAGATAGAGTCTGTGAAGTGTGAAATAAGATTGCTTTTTATCCGACAGTGCAGCGCTATAGAAAAGGAAGCTGTCCGGCCCTGGATAAAGCGGGCGGGGGTGCGGGGAGGGGAGGGGAGGGGGGACACCTGATTTACAGTGCGGTCTTGTGACACCTGGTTAAAATGATAACAACGGCCTCAATAATCATAATGATAGTAATGAGAGCACAGACACACATTCTCCACACCAGAGTCCGGATCAACCCTCACTCCCAGGACTCGAGAGCCGGGGAGAGGCTGAAGCTCATCTCAGGCCCCTGCACCGGTTCTCAGGAAACCTCAAAGAGACAGACAACACAATGAAGTTGACTTAGATTTTGTGTTTTTGCTATCATTATTATTATGACCTCTAACTATTGTCTGAGGATTACTGGAGCCGTTCTTTCTCAGGTAGGACTAGTATTTCTGTACTTTAAGAAACGCAGCCATCATCATGGCCGTATATTTTGCTGAGGATGGAGGAGGAGCCTGACCTAGTGAAAGATATCTAGAGTGACTATTATTACTTGTTGCTGCTCTTCTCTACAGTCTGGGAAGGAATACTGGAAAGTGCAGTGGTTACCATCAATTATTTATTAGGCCGTTTGTGCTTGTCAGTCTGATTAGCATTAGTGTAATCACTGCTCTTCAGGGGAAAGGAAGGCTGCTCTCTCTCATCTGAAGGTAATCTCGCCGTTTTCAGTGTCTCATCTTCACCGGACGCCTCTTGCATAGCATCTGCTTTTGTCATCTTCACATATTTCTTCCCCCCTTTTCTTTTTTTCCTCTCCTTTCCCCCCGTGCGTTTCTGTCTGTTGCTGCTCGGCCCCCTTCCCCCCCTGCACCTCATTAATGCGTGTGAGCTAGTAGCACTCTCCCAGCTTGTAGAGAGTGACACCTATGGGCCCGATTGAGCCTCTGCAGTCCCCAGCAAAACACGAGAGGGGAAGACTACTATGCGACTAGATGTGTGTGTGTGCCAGTGAGTGTGTATTTCTGCGTGTGTGTCCTTCTGTAAGATGTTGGAACAGAGAGCCCATGGACTGTCCCCGCTGACTGACTGGCAGAGCAGAGCTGATATTTATACGCTCAGAACAGATGAGTGTAATCTCTGTGTCGGCAATGAGCTTATTCAGCTCGCATGATTAGATTAATGGAACTGTTTCATATCATTGTATTAGGATGGTTAATGAAGACAATTAATTAGAAGACAACCTTCAGGCTATTGTCCTTTACATCTCTGAAATTTGGGTTAGAAATGGCCTGCTGCCATAGCTTTGAGTGTTTCTCCTCATCTATTTTCAGAGTTAATCTATGGCTACAGTTTTAGTGTCTCTTCCATTTGCATCCTACTCTTAGGCCACTCATGACCTTTCATTAATTATGGTCAGGCCGGCTTTAATCATTCTGTAATACCGTTAGAGATGAGACGAGAAATAGGCAAAAGCCATTTGCCACTTTGAGATGTAACACTGCTCCTGGAATTAAATGTCTTCATTCCTGCATAAATTATGGATGGGCTGTGTGTTGTGTGTGCTAAAAGTGTCATATACGTTGATTAAACATCTAAATAAAAAATGTATTGGAAATTCAGGGAAGGAAAAAAAATCCCAGTGCCTGTGTGAGCGTGTACAGTACGTGTTCAGGAAGCGAGGGCTGGGTACAGGGAAGCTGAATGGCATTAGAATTTTGTCTGTCTATCACTGTGATGTTTAAGCACAACGTGTGTATTAATGTGTAGGTGGGGAATTAGTCTCACTGCTGGTGTCACGCAGCTAAGAAATGACACCATGCCCCATTTTTAAAGGTGAAAAAATTTACCTGGGGATTATTTTGTAATCTGAGCACCTGCGCAGCTGTACCGTTTCCTAATTCCTGCGCAGTTGTGGAGATTTATGCAGGCAGGAGTTGGATGGGATTTTGGGACTCGGCAGCAGATTTCTGGTTTTCTGGAAATGTTTAAGATCTGCGCCTCACCAGCACGGGACGGGCTGCACTGGATGGAATTCGTGGGTTGCCTTGGAAACATAATAGAAACATGGATAAAAATAAAAGGACAAAATGCATTTCCTTATGTGGGATACTGGGGACACTTGAATTCACTGGGAGACCGTCAAGCCTTTTAAAAATCTTTATTTAAAAAAGGATCTTGTACTGTTATAACTGTGATGTGTTACAGCACAGTGTGTGCACATATCACTCTGCTCAGCTGTTTCCTTACATTTGATCAGCAAACAGGAAATGGACTATGCTGCTCATGACCTGCCAGTAACACAATGGTGTTCTATGATGAGTACTTATGTTTAAGTGTGCAGTTGTGTCTAGAATAATGGATTTTTTTTATAGTAATAAGCCTCTCTTATAATTTTGGAGCTACATTAACAAAGAAGACAGTGTTAAATAATATCATCAAATAATTTCAAGCTTTTGAGAAAAAGTAGATTTTCTCTTTCATACATTCTGCAGAAAATGACAATTTTCAGAAAACAATTGAATTTTGTTTAGATTTCATTTACGAACATGATTCATTCTCCGTAAGTCATTTCTCTTTACTCGTTCAGCAGAAAATGAGAATCTGTGAGTAAGAAATGACGTCGGGGAAGGGACTTTGAGAATAGCCATGAAAGAGTGGGATGATAGTGCATCTGTAATAACACACGCCAATAACAACTGTATATGCAATGTATGTGATATTTCACAACTGGTGGGATAAACAGCGAGTGTTGGGGATAATGTAACATCATAAAAGTGGTTTTGGCTGTGGGTAATCATGTGGTGAGCTCAGATTGGGTGTGTGATGACTGCAGGGCTGAATACTTGAACAGGATATTTCAGTAGCTGTTGTAGCATTGTCAATATATCAATAGCTCATAGACTAGAGACCTGAGCATGAAAGCATTTTCAAAAGAGCATTTAAGTACATTTGCTGAGAATTAGCTGACTTGTGTAATAGCTGATAGGGCCTATTGACTGCGGCCTAGTTTACGGTTGTCAAATCAATGCTATTGCATGCAAGTCCCACTACTTTTAAACAAACTTAACAGGCAGAGGGGATGTTCAGGGGGCACTGTAGGGAAATAAAGAAGATTGATGCCCTTTTTATTATCTGTTTTTGCTATCTTTTCCTCTGTGTGTTACTTACAAATGGCATTATCGGATATCCATTGTTTGGACTTCAATGCGCCTAAATGGCCTGATATATTGAGCTGAGGCTTTTAAGGTGGTTACAGGGGATTTCTGCCTTTGACTTGGCATAAAAAGTAAAATGAATTGTGGCTTTGAAGTTTTAAATATTTATGATTTTTTTCTTGGCAATAGTAGCGCTGATGAGGTGGAATGAGTTGTGTGTTGTTGGTAAGTAACCTAGCAGATTGCAGCAGGGGATGGTAATGTATGTGTGTGTGTGTGTGTGCACGTGTGTGTGAGAAAGAGAATAGGGGCTTGTCTGGTATAAGGTCTTTCTCTTGAAGGATACTGCCCGGACAATTATTTTACCATCTGCCCACTTCAGACCACATGTGCTTTTCTTTCTGCAGTTTTATGTCCACATTAAACTGAAAAAGCCATATATGTGTCATGGTCTAGAATACATGGAAAAACAGAATAAATTAGTTCCCACTATAATAATAATAATTATAATAATAATAATAATAACAATAATACTTATAATAATGCTAATAATTATAATAACAATAATAATTATAATTATAATACAATTTCCCTTTTCATCCCCTGCACTTCTACTTAGATTTAGTAATTCCTGTCAAAATGAATTTCACAGCAATGATCAGACACAGGCGCAGGACAGAGAGCAGAAAGCAGATTCTGCCCTCTTTGTCTGCTAGCCTTGCAACTGTGTGTCAGCAAATGTAATTGTTGCAAGCTCCTATAGAAAAAAACGCTGCCGTCCCTTTAAGTGCTTCCACCAATTCTGATGGCGTGGTGATTTACATATCCCGTCCTCCCTCCCCCTTCAGGAGAGCTGAGCGAGGATGTGGAGGCTGCTAGTGAGACCACCACAGACCAGGAGGACCAAACCAAAGACAGAGAAAGTGGGGGGGAGAAGGAGCTCACCAAAGGGACAGGTAAGGCCAATATTTCCACCACACATATTTAGGGACTAATATTCACAGGACACATGTGACCCTGCTCCTGAATGGTTCTGAACCTTGCATCTAATTACATTTCTAACAAAAATATTGGCAGCCTTGTTTTAAAAGCATTTAACTCTCCGTCCCCCAAAACCCCCTAAACCATGCTCTAATTGTCATAGGCTGCTCTTTCACGCTGCAGGTTTCCAGGCATTAAATCCCATCAGATACACTTAGGATAAATTGTCAATTTAGGTAATATGTTCAGGTGACATGTGACCCGTGTTTTGTCTCTGCTCAGGAAGTGATGTGAAGTGAAAGGCCTGCATGCGTAACTCCAGCTGGGGCCATGTGTCTGTGCACATGTGATATCACTGGCTTCTTCTCAGTTTTGCTGCACACACACAAGAACACAGACAACACTTTACCAGTGTTTGATGTTCTCAGATCCGGATGGTTTTATTTGTGGCCCTCTTTATTGACAGGTGTATGTGGTGACTCCTGAGCAGGGGGTTGGGCTTACAGGTTGAGGGGAGGAGCTTCAAGCCTAAACATCTCTGGACAAGGGCAGCCTGCAGCTCTGTGAAAAATGTTTTTGAACATTTGAGGATCTAGTTTTGGAATTGGCAAATGTTTCAAGTTTGAATGGTTCAGAAATCATACACTGTGAACTTTGATTTCATGGTAGCGTGCCTTTGTGGATTTTCTTTTAACATGTTGTGGGGGTTAATCATGAAAATGAGTGCCCTACATGGTAAAATGTTATAACTTTGAGTATTGGATGGAGTTTCTACACTAATAGCTGATGTGCAAGAACCATTTCAGCTTCTCATTGCAGTTTCATTTTCTTGTTGGTTATACAGTTGTGTTCATATTCACAGGAACAATTGTAGTGATGGTATTTAATTTAGATTTTTAACACAGATGCTTGTGTGGTTAAAGCAGTTTTTCAGTACATTGTCAGATGTGTAAAAGAGGGGAAGTTGACACTGCTGCCCAACTTCTCCACAGAAATGTAACATGGTCTCAAACACAAGTTCAAGTCAACTCAAGGATAAAGCAAGAATCTTAAACGTGTTTTTTTACCCTATAAACGTTGCATGTGCATCATCTACATATGCAGTGCTTTTGCTTTTGTGACTGTATTCAGATTTCTGACACATCAGTGCAAATTAAATATAGTTTAATTCCTCTTTTTATGCTCAATTTACTCTTTATGCCTTTGTTGTGGGGAAAAAGCCAATGCTGGCAGGTAAGACTTCTCTTATTCAATCAAAAGGATTTCTGATAATAATGACACTGAACAGTTACAGGCCTGGATAGATGCTTCTCACTTGTCTAACTTCTTGTGTTACTGCAGGATGTTTTGATTTACACTAGTCAGGTTAAAAGCTGGAAAACAATTCAGACCTTTTGCATACCTAAGTTTTTTATAAAGTGCAGGAAAAAAAACTTCATCATAGTGTTTGAAGCCCAGCCTTTGTAAAATGTCTTTGATATTCGAACTTCTATTTTAAATGAGGCTGAGTTGTTTGTGCTCTTTGAAAGGGCGACACTCTTCTTTGATGGAAGAAATAATGATATGCATGCCTGACTGAATATGGCTAAAAGTATGTTTTAGCACATCAAAATAAAGCACTTTAAAAAGCATTAAAATGAGCTGGCCGATTAATAATTCACTCATACCTGTGGTGCACAGGAAGACGACTCCTCGCATTAGGATTCCTCCTTTTTGAAAGGCATGCAATTTGATACAAGCATATTCAGTTCCTTTCCTCCCCTCTGTCAGTCGCTAATCACCAAATAAGTGTGTTTCTGTGTTTTCACAAAGGAAATATGTGCTTGCATATGAAAAATTTACAGCTTCCCAGCAGCTTATTAGAAACGCTTAGTTAAAAATAGCATGTGCATTAGGGAACCAGGTCTGAGGTTCTGTTTGATGTCAGTGAAAAAGGTGGGTGGGGAGGTTGGGGTGGTGGGTTCCAGGCTGTGTTGTCAGCGAAAGGTAGACAGCTGTAGTTTAATGGAAGGGTCGCTTTTTTGTGCCTCAAACTTTTTGCGATTGATGAATACAATGCCCATTGAAAGCCAGCGAAGAAAACCTGTCTTGTAGGGAATAAGCGAGGGAGACCTCACAATGCATTTGGTAAACAGAGGAGCACTTGTTCGGGCCTGTGATTGTCTGAAGATGTTTGTACAGTAGACACGCAGATGGCAGAATATGGTGCACGAGCGTCTTGGCCAACCTGTTATTTATCTGAAAGGTGCTCAGTCTCCCACTGTCTGCGGATGAGCTGTTTCTAAGGTCCATCATTAGAACTACTGAAGTATTTCTTCTCATCGCTGTCATGTAGCTGTTGGAACAGAGCACAACATTGTTCCTTTACAAATGACAGTCACTGTCAGACAGACGGCATTAGCAAACACAGAATAAAGGCTTCCTCCTTTTTAAAGCCACTGTCAATCTTATTTTCTCTTTCTTGTTCCACAGCTCCTCAGTATTCATTAAAATCATTTAGAGGTACACCAGGCGCCTTTGTAAAATGCATATGTATTTGGCATGTCATCTCTTGAGAGATGCATTCATTATTCAGTTGTTTTTTATTTATGTCAAAGATAAGACATATATATATATATATATATATATATACACAATATATATATATATGCATACATGTGCACGCAATCAGACATATGTAAGTGTCATATGCTTCCAACCTTACAGCCAATATGTGTTTATGAAGTGTATTAGGATATGTATGCTGATAGAAGAAAGCATAAGTTACAGTAAAAGTAATTATAAGAGGACTACTAAAATCATAACGTATGTGGACAGTGATGTTCATGTTGGCGGTAACTACAAATTAATCATGCAGCGTGATTAGTAATTCAAAGGGTCATTTTTAATGCTAAGGTATAAAATATGCATAAACGGAAAGCCATGAAGCACTTTTCGTCTTCCCTCGCACCTTCCTCACCTAGCTGAGACAGCACCAGTGAAAAAGGGATGAGCTCCTTCATTAAGGCGGGTGGTGTATTTATGCAGTATTTGAATGTATGGGGATACAGCGAGGAGAAAGGCAGGAGGGTGGCGAAGCATAGGGGGAGATAGGAAGGTGAGGAGAGGGTTGTTAATACACCTGCAGACTTGGACACAATGTGATTTGACATATTTAACATAAATATATGTGAGAGCTTGTATTGGAAGTTGGGGGCCCTTTGTAAGGAGGTGGGGGAGAGAGAGAGAGAAATGGTGTCTCCATTCTGGTGCTGGGAGGATGGTCGCTCCTCTGAAATTGAGCTTGATAAATAATTCTTTTCATACCCCTCTCCTTACTTTCAATTTAAGGGAGATGGAGTAAGGGAGGTGAAAAATTATATTTCAGGCCGGATCATCCACCTTTTAACAACATTAAAGTCCATGAAGCTCAGACAGACTCGAAATTAGACAAAAACCAAGAGGGTAACATAAAGAGGTTTACAGTATTTCATTAATACCCTGTAACCAATCGTTTTTCTTAAAAACTCATATAATATTGTGACAGTTTTAAATATGCTTTTAATATGTTACTAAAACACATTAAAAAACTCATATAATATTGTGACAGTTTTAAATATGCTTTTAATATGTTACTAAAACACATTAATTCGCCATATTTTTTTTTAAGTAATCCAGAATAACAGACAGATAAATCCTTCTACTTTGGGGATAATTATTCTATTTTGGGGGGAATCATTTTATTTATAATTTGAATGTCACATCTGTTATTTACACAGTATGTGCCATTACTGAGCACTCATGTCACAGTCTTAAGTGCATACAACACAACATGCATTTAGCTTGTATGCATGCAGTAAATCAATTTTTATTATCACTTGCCATGCAGGACTTTGTCTGTGCTGGCTCAGGTTTAAATGTTAGTGTTGTTAAGGTACAACCGTGTAGGAGTATTTTTTCAAGCGCCAATTAAAAGTGATGTGCAGGTTCCAATTTAGCATTTGATTAGCTGCCGCACACAGTATTTTTGTGATTTTAACAGTGGCCATGTGCAAATAGTGCATATTATCATTACTGCAGTCATTATGCCCAAAAACATTGCTTTTTTTTTACTTCTCACATATCGAGCCTGATAAATAAAATCTAAATTTAGATTTACGCATAATTAATCGCCTGTGTATTTTAGACTGAACATCCTCTGCGTAAGTGTTGTTTTAACTTTTGTGGTGAGATAATAAGCATTGGACTTTTCAGTTGCAAGAACTGTATATTATTTGTAATGAGATGTTACAATCAGACATGTCCTCACAGATGCAGTTTGAAATAGTCACTTGAATAGATTCAGGATCAGCGCCTGTCTCTGCAGGATGCTCCAAACCTGAGTTTCTCCAGCAGGAGATTTTCTGCAGCTGAAAAAAATGTATTCAAACTATTTTCAGTTAAACGTTGACACCGAATGTGTGAAACTGTTTAAGTGAAGACTGAGCTGCTGGGTGAGCTCTACTCCACCATGAGCTGTTTATTTGCCTAAATGTGCTTTAACATACACACGCACACTTTCAGGTGTTGCTGTGTGCAGAAGCAGCTGTTGTGTTGTTCACCATAGCTGCTTCATTTAGTCTGTGTAATGAACATGATGATTAGCATCCCCTAGACGCAGCACCGTGGCATTGCAGTCTGCTCAGTTTTTATTGTGCTCTGCATTGTGCTGTTAGTCCTCCGCTGTTGCTCACTCAAGAACAGACACACCACATGTTATAAATCGTGCCCCATATAACAGTGCAGATATGTAGATTTAATATAAACTGTGGCTGAATTTGAAATTGCATGCTCATGGTTAGTTACAATCAAATTATTCAACTTTATGTTATTGTTACTCCAAGCTGGGAGACATTCAGTGCAGCGGTGATTTGTTATTGCTTTTAAAACCCTAAGTAGAATAAGAAATCAGGAGACAGCAGTGAAAATGTTTACATATTCATATCACGTCCTTCGA